GGGCACCCGCACAGGGCCCAATGTTGAAAGGGGCCCCCTAACTTGAATTTTTATATTTTGATAAAGTTAAGAGAAAAAATTTTTCTTGCATGAGCAGAGATTTGAACTCAACTTCAAAATTATTATTTAACATTAAATCTACTTTAACCATTACAATCATTTAATATAATAATTCAATTAATAGATACTCCGTATATATTAGAGAATATTAAATTAATTTATAATTAAACTTCATATAGGGGCCCAAAATTTGAATGATCACTATTTCGGGATTAGTCCAACTAATTTTTTTTTAAACAAATAAAGTCTTAAAAAATTATACATTCATAAAAATTCAAAGTTATCATTGAATTATTTTCAATTAACAAAATCTTTTAAACTATATATATATATATATATATATATATATATATATATATATATATATATATATATATATATATATATATATATAAAACATTTTAACTTTATATATTAAGGGCCCTTATTTTTACTTTGCCCCGAACTTATAAAATGATAGGACCAGCCTTGAGCGCATACTATATTCAAACTAATCTCCATCATGTTCCATACAATAATGATTGTCCATTCACACCAGACCGACCTAATTAAAGAGCAAAATACTGACTAGATTGATTTTTTATACGAAATGGAGTTCAAACTCCCGACCTCTCTTAAAGGACAAAAGTTAATTGGTATTCATAAAGTCACTAAACTTTCTCCCCGCGAACTCTACCAACTTTTTATCCAATCTAAACTCAATATACTTTTTCTATCCATCTAAACTCTACATATACATTTTCTTCCTCCTTAAATTCTACAAACATTTTCTTTTTACTTAAACTCTACCAACTTTTTATCCAATCTAAACTCAATATACTTTTTCTATCCATCTAAACTCTACATATACATTTTTTTCCTCCTTAAATTCTACAAACATTTTCTACTTAAACTCTACGAATTTACTCACCCTTATAGAATTCTACAAACTATTTCTCATTGCATAAACTCCATATACTTCTCCTTTGCTCCCCATGATGCCCAACCTAATCAGCATTTCAATTTAGATTTTGCATTCTGTGTTGGTGATAATGAACCAAAAATCGATTTAATATCGTAAAATAATATTTATATATACACACACGAAGTATATAAAATATTATTCGATATATTATATCCGATATATATATATATATATATATATATATATATATATATATATATATATATATATATATATATATATATATATATATATATATACACACACACACACACACACACACACACAAATATATATATAAATCAGACCACCATGGTTATATACATGAGTATCTACGGAAAAGATATATGCATATCAACCAAATGGAATTTATAATACACAGATTATAATTCCAACCAAACTATAACATAAAAGGAGGATTTTTGCTTAGAAGCATAATCCAAAACCGAATGAAGGAAAGATTGGCTCGTGTTTGGGTAAGGGTTTTTAGCGTGAGTCAAGAGACCACTCTTTCCTTAAAATCTTATTTGCCACCTCCCAAAAGTGCTAGGAGCGCCGTGGCCTAGGTTTCCCAGGATAAAACGCGCTACGGTTCGACGTTTGAGCACCCAAACGAACGGACCGGCGAACTAGAGCAAAGCTATGAACACAGTTTAGGCAAAGAAAGGAGTGGAAGCAGAGTTTTGAGGCGAGAAACCACTTTCTGTGTTGTGTGTTCTTGTCACTATGTGCTTAGAAAATCTGCTCCCTTTACCCCTTCTTTTATAGGGATGTAGTACTAAATAGCATTAAACAAGGCCATTAAACCTTCGCTTTGTAACATCTGAAACAGCCAGCCATAACCCATTATTTAAATTCAAAATTACATCTGAATTAAATGGAAATTAATTCTGTAACAGAGAAACTTAATCCCACATCAGTCCGTTGGCCTTCAGCCCCAGGCCAAAACCATACTGACAGTATTTCGGCCTCAGGCCGAAACCAGACAATGTTTCGGCCCAGCCCGAAACAATGCTGTACTGTGGCTGAGTTTCGGCCCTAGGCCGAACTTTGCTTCACATTCGGCCTCCCAGGCCGAAACTTCAGTTCGGCCTAGACCGAGCTCATTTCGGTCTTGGCCAAACCAAGTGGCTATTGCGTTGGAAAATATGATACCGAAAGTTGGCATAACTTAGCCCGCAAGGCCAGCCAATTTCCGGACGACATTCGTGCCCGTAGGTGCCGGCGCACACGAGCTCGGGCTTGAATCAAGCCTTTCCGAAGTCATCTCTAGTTGGAATTTGATTTGCACCCCCCACCCACGCGAGAGAGCCTCTATGCTATGCAATTCTACAAGCTCTTAAAAAGCTCTTGTATAAAAGGGGCGGTCAAATCCTCTTTCCAAACCAATGTGGGACAAAAGCTCACTTTTTCCCTTCATTTTTCCAACTCAATGGGTCTACTTTGAGAATCAATATCTTATTCACCCATTATCCGTTTTGAGCGTACAATATATCAATCTCTTCGTCTCACTACGAAGAACCTGAATCCACTTTGACCCAATCCAAATCGGAAGTGGACCCCACTGATAATTGTACCACAGAATAGCCACTTAAAATGCCATTTTAATACTATTTTTCCAACATTCTGCTCATATATTTAGCAAAACATATCCTCCTACACATCTTCTTAGGCATTAGTATTAGGTAAATAACAATTGTTTATCTATTTTATATCTTTACCGTTAATTACACTACAGTATAAATACACTTATAAACTTTACGTAATGTATATCAAATATCATTCTTTCTCTACAAATCTTCTTCTTTACCATCTACCGAATTTTTCTTCTTCTTACACATATTTATCTCAATAATATTCATCTTGCATCTACACATTTAATTATTCACTAAGAATATCCACACCAATGATTTTTGGTAGAGTTTTTTAGAAAACAAAGATGATATGTAGGAAAGAGGGAGAGAAAAGAGAATAAATGAGATGTTGCAGGAAGATGGGTTTTTAGTCTAAAAAGGTGGGGCCCGCATGGAGAAAAAACTATGCATCACCCGCGCGTTCAGTGCAACTTGGGCCCCCCTGGGTGCATAAGATCTTATTTTGTAGTCAGATTTACTTTTATTTTCCTCTTTCCTCTCTCAATTTCTCTTTCCTAGTGATACCTGCAAAAACTCTTCAAAAACCGCAATTGTTGAGGATGCTCTAACAACAAGGCAATGTTAATGTAGGTATATATATTATAGGGAAAATATACAAATAGGCCATTGAACTATTTCGGGGATAGCAATTAAGCCACCGAATTTGAATAAGCTCCAAATTCATCTATGAACTTGGATAAAAAGAGCAATTAGCATTTTTAGCAGGTTAACAAGTTATTATTTTTATTATCCTACTAAGCATTTGACCCTTTTCCTGGATACCATGTTTTCCTGATTTTATTTTCTGACGTGTCGGGTAATGTATTTAAAAATAATTTTTTAAATTTATTTTAATAATTTCAAATAAAATAATTGTTTTCAAAAATAAAATAAAATAAATAAAATAATTATTATGAAAACAAAAACAAACAACCTTGCCGGAGATGAAGGGGACCCCTTTGTCTCCATGGCCAGCCCTTCGTCTCCGTGGCTAGCCGGAGACGAAGGGTCCCCTTTCGTCTCCATGACCAGCCGGATCGACGACGCGGTGGAGACCGCCTCGTCTCCGACTAGCTATGGAGACGGTTCCCTTCGTCTCCATGGCGGCCAGAGACGAAGGGGACCCTTCGTCTCCAGCTCTCCATGACTGGTTGGCTGGAGATAGGCCTGTGCAATGGACGGGTTCGGACGGGTTCGGACGGTTCGGGTTCGCGGAAGGCTAATCCGATCGGACTTCGGATACCCTATTCTAGCACCTAACCGTTTATTTTCCCACCTAATTCCGTCGGATATTGTTCCGAATTACCGTTCGGATATCTGACTCAACCGTCGGATATATCGGTTATTGATGATAAAAGTGTAAGTGCAAAAATAATAAATTTATTTAACAAAAAGAACTGATTTTTAATAGTTAACCACTTAAGTAGTCTAAAATACAGAATTACCTAAGTAGTAAAAGTGTAAGACACTTCACAAGTTCACAGTTTCAACTTACAAATTAAAATTTACATTCATAACTCATAAGCATTTACTGATTACAGACTAACTGACTAAGCAATTAAGCATACAAAAATACAAAAACACTGAAGTTCAGACATTAAGCAGTAAGCAATTAAGTTTTAATCCAAGCCTCCAAAACTTGAAAGTCTAATGTCCAAGCCACCAAGCATCAGCCGTCAGCAGTCAGCAACTCAGCATTCATCAAAAAGAATACCAGTAGACCCTAATAATATGATAATAACCTAATAATATGATAATAACCTATTTGGCTATTCCTCTTCCTGATAAGTAAAAACACAAAACTTAAGCTTTAAAATATATAAACTTTAAAGTTTAAACAATTGAACATGAATGAGTTATGAATGTAAATTTTAGAGTGCTCAGATTGCTATTTTTCCAGATCAACCAAGGATTGGGGGAAATTGCTCAATATGAGTATGGCACAAAACACCACACTACATAGGCAACATGTCAAACCCAATTCTATATATTCAGAAAACATGGTGGAAGCATCATCATTGCACAAGGGGCCAAAGACAATTAAGTAATTAACAATAAGTCAATAACAGAGATATGGAGACTTGAGAGAAGTGAAGCCATATACATTACCACTTTACCAGACACCATTCATCATTCAGGTGTCAAATGCTCAATGGCAGCAACATTTAAAATGTCACCAAGTCATTGAACACTTTCCAATTCCATTGCCCAGCCAAGGAATGAGGGCCTGAGGGACATTGATATTTGATACACATACACTGTAACACTGATGCAGTCATACAGAGATATCATATAATAATCATTGATCAAATATCAAAATAAATACAGAAATGCTTTATGGAATAAAAGTTATAAGTATATAATCATACAGGTATTGTAGGCAATAATCCAACTCCAGTGGTGGATGTGCTGCACAACTCTGCGAAAAGAAAAAACAAAACACAAGTATAATTAAAAGAAGTATTAATATATAATAAATAGTTATAATTCTAAGTTAAAATGTAAATTTTAGAGATTTACCTTTCTCAATCCTTTCAACATCTTCAATATTTTCTTCAACAGAGATTGGTTGATTGGCTAACCTCAACCAATCCTGTGCACACACAAGTGCCTCAACAATTCATAGGAGTTAGGGAACTCCTAAAGGCATCTAGTACTCTCCCACTGGTACTGAATGCTGATTCAGATGCAACAGTAGAGATTGGAACAGCAAGTACATCCCTTACCATTTTAGATAACACAGGGAACCTATCATAATTCAGCTTGCACCATCTTAGAAGGTCAAAAGAATCCTCATCATCCACAATGACCTCAGACAAATACACCTCCAACTCAGTTCTTTTCATTGACAAATCACCAGTACCCAATTTTTGTTTCTTAATCTGGGATTTCAATAATGCTTGAGGTTTCCCAACAGAAACACAATCAGAAATTATAACTGAAGGGGCTGATTTGGCATAATTTTTAGGAACAGACTGGACAGGAAAACAGGACACATAATCTTGAAATAACTCCTTAAGGCCAACAACAACCTTATCAAACATTGTTTTACCTTTGTCCTCACCATATAACTGGGTAAACTGAATGGGCATATATTCTATTTTGTCCCAGGGGTCTAAGATATTTGCATAGAATATGAGAAAGTTCATTTTTTCAGGCTCACCCCAATACTTATCAAACTTTGCCCTCATATTTGTACCCATCAGTTTAACACTATCATCAACTTCCACCATATTACTTAACAAGCAAGACAGATCAGAAATCTCAGAGAAAAAAGTATTAGAAGTCACATACAGTGAACCAGAAATTCTAACAGTCATTTCATAAAAAGATTTTAGAATTTGTACCAAACCAGAAATGGTTTCCCAATCCATGAAGTTAGGTATATTATTCTCACCCAAATCAGATTTAAATCCACTGTCTGAGCTTGCATACTCTTCAAAGACTTTCTCATACAACAAAGCAGCACTCAGCATCATATAGGTGGAGTTCCACCTTGTAGGAATATCAAGACACAAAGACTTCTTGGCTACCACCCCCATTACATCAGCTAGCTCCCTAAACCTTTGAAGCCTAGCAGGTGAGCTTCTCACATACCTAACAGAATCCCTCACTTTTTTAACAGCACTACCAGATTCTTTCAACCCATCCTGTACCACCAAGTTAAGGATGTGAGCAATGCACCTCATGTGCAAGTACTTATTCCTAACAGCAGTACAACCCCATGACACAAACTTTTTCTTTAAGAATCCTAGGGCAGTATCATTGCTAGAAGCATTATCAACTGTGACACTGAAAACTGATTTTAGACCCCAGTCCATAAGATAACTTTCTAAAGCCTTTGCAATACTTTCACCCTTGTGGGAATAGATAGGAACAAATGAAATGATTTTCTTTTGGAGCTTCCACTCACTATTAATGAAATGTGCAGTTATGCACATGTAGTTTATTCTCTGGACTGAGGTCCATGTATCAGTTGTGATACTAACCCTCTGACTACTAGTCCTAAAGAACTTCTTCAAGTTGAGCCTCTCATCAGAAAAAATCTTAAAAATATCCCTACTGATAGTCCATCTTGAAGGGATTTTAAACCTAGGACAGCAAACAAACACAAACTTTCTAAACCCCTGTCCCTCAACTATCCTAAAAGGCAATTCATCCAGAATAATCATCTCAGCTAAGGCTCTCCTTATCAAGTCTTGGTCAAATACCCAAGTACCTAACACCCCTTTTGATCCTTCACTACTTTCAGTTCCAGCAGAAGAAGGTTCACGTTGGAAAGTAAGCAAGGACTGCCTTGTATCCTAAGAGTGAGGATTTTTAAGGCAGTTTACCACATGGAGTCTAAGAGAAGAAGTCCCATGTTTCTTGGACTCACTACAATACACCCTAACACAGTATAAACATTTTCCCTTGATAACAATGCCCTCAGAGTCTTTGATCTTTTCAAAGTGATCCCATACAGGAGATCTGGTCTCAACCACTTTCCTTTTCTTAGGAACAGGTGGAGGCAAAGGCTGCTGAGACTGAGATGTATTTGTCTCTACAGCTGTGGCTTCCACCTCAGGTTGACTTCCAGATAAACCACTAATACTTTCCATCTAAAAAAAGTAAAGTATCAGTGAATGGGAAATCACTCAGGGAAAATCATCAACAACTATGGACAGAGGTATCAAACATGCACATTACCACATATATTCATATAATTACTTTCAGTTAATTTCACATGGCATCATGTATGCAGAATTGCACATAAAACGATTTAAGGGTCACATATCCATAAACTTAATACAATTTACAATTTACAAAGAAATCCATATTCAGGCATTCAAGCTAAGTAGATGTATGCCACTTCATAATGCTCATCATCTATATGGATTTCACACACAGGGGCTAGGGCTTCCACTAGATTAGGGACAATTAACCCTTTAAGCCTTTAACTCCTTTAAGGGACAACACAGTTACACAGATTTACACTTATAAATTATAAATTTATAATGCTCATCAATCATCATTTATATGGAATATGGATTTCCAAGGGCAAAGGGACACATGGGCTAGAGCTTCCACCAACAGATCACAAATTAGAGACAAGCGAGTGAAGTGACATGCAATCTGAAACTTCTCAACAGATCACATTACCACAGTCCACACAAATCAGTGAATCACAATCACATAAACCCTAATCAAACTATCAAAGTATCACAAATTAGAGACAAGTAACATGCAATCTGGAACTTCTCAACAGATCACATTATCACAGTCCACACAAATCAGTGAATCACAATCACATAAACCCTAATCAAACTATCAAAGTATCACAAATTAGAGACAAGTGACATGCAATCTGGAACTTCTCAACAGATCACATTATCACAGTCCACACAAATCAGTGAATCATAATCACATAAACCCTAATCAAACTATCAAAGTATCACAAATTAGAGACAAGTGACATGCAATCTGGAACTTCTCAACAGATCACATTATCACAGTCCACACAAATCACAATCTATAAGAGTATAAGAATATAATCTAAGTATCTAACAATCTAAAAGACTAGGATTTAGAGAATAGAGATTACTTCGTTTCTCTAAATTAAACCCCCGAGAACAAAGGGCTTCGATTCCTAGCCAGCGAACTGCAATCCACCGGAGACTCACTTCGACTCAGACTCTCAGAGGTCAGGGGCTACCGGAAAGGAATGGGGCTTGAGGGCTTCCACCGGAGAATAATAGCTTCCACAGTCCACACAGTCACACTCTCAGAGATTGAGAGAAGCTGAGATTCTGAGAACTGAGAAGGGCTGAGAGAGAAGTCAGAGAACGAGAGACTTTGAGAGAACTAGGGTAGAGAGAAGTTAGAGAGTTCTCTGGAAGAAGGGAAGAGCTGCGCAAATGAGACTAGGGTTTGAGAGTTCTCCGCTCCTTCTTCTATATATACTCAACCTACACGACGTCGCATTACTTAGGTTATACGAAGCCTTAGTCTAAATCGGGTAGTCGGACGGGTTCGGGTGGAAAATATACCCCCCCTCCCCGAACTCATTAAACCGGCGTCGTTCTACGCCGCGGTTCGGATTTGGCTTCTTGGGTTCGGTTTTCGAACCATTCTCGTGTGTCGGGTTCGGGTTGGTTGGGTTGGGCGGGTTATGCACAGGCCTAGCTGGAGACGACCCCTTCGTCTCCGGCTAGCTAGGGAGGCTATTTTAAAAAAAAAAAATATTTCAAAATAATTATTTTATTTAAAATTATTAAAATAATTTTTTTTTTAAAATTGAAACAAAAAAAAAAACTATTGTATTATTTTTAAATATAATATAATAAGTGACACTTCAGGAAATAAAATCAGGAAAACATAGCATCCAGGAAGAGAGTTCAAATAATAATAATAATATAACAAGGTCACGTGGCCTAATGGATAAGGCGCTCGCCTCCGGAGTGAGAGATTATGGGTTTGAGTCCCACCGTGATCGAAATATTTGTTTCACCAAGTGACAGAATACTAATTGTTATCCCCAAATATTTTGCCTATTTATGTACCCTGAGTAAAAACATAAAAATAATTAAATTGATTTTGATTTTAAAGAATAATGATTAATTTCTGTTTGATTTTTCGTAGGGTGTATTTAGTTGGTAGGTTTAGCACTCAGGTATATGTATGAAAGTGATTGTTATTGTTTTGTTGACTGGTTTTTTAAATACTACTATGGGTTTGAAATATCTCATTAATAGAAAAATTCATTCCCTTATTTTATAAGGGTTTCATCCCATTATTCATCCTTAACCTAATCATTTTCATTCCACCCTACTATCAAACATTCAAAATACTTTTACCAAATTAAACTCATTACTATTACCAAGTATTTAATACTCAATCCGATTCTGATTTTCATGTGCGAATCAAACACACTCGTATTTTTCAATTTTCTGACCTTTCATGAAAATTTCAACGTACGTTATATCGCCATAGTTACTCCAGGACAAAGCTCTGTTATAGTCGTTTTTTTTTTTTGAAACCTGTTATAGCCGTTATAATGTCAGAAAACAGAAGAAATTACAGTCAGGCTGGGATTATCCCAGCCAATATTGGCTTTGCAAGCTGATGTGGCAAAGCCACATATACATTTTTTATTTTTTTTTTTAATGAAATGGGTTTGCAAATTTGCACTGCAAGCAAATTTGCAAACCCTGAAAAAGCTGCCGCGGCTGTACTGCCGCGGCAGCTTTTGTATATATTTTTTTAAAATTTTATTTGATTTTTGTACTTTTAAGTATTTTAATATTATTAATAATGTTATTTTAATATGTTGGGCCCACTTTTGAAGGTTGATTGGATTTGCAGGGTTGTAGTGTGAATAGTAGATGATTTGCAAATGGGATGATGTGGAAGTGGGACCCATTTTTGAAAGTAGGAGATGTTTGCAGGGATAAGGACAGCCTCAGCGTTTTATCTACAGTTCTCCATCATTTTATTCCGTTTTTTACTGGCTTGACCCTTGTAGATTGACCCAAGACATATGTTTGTTTTTAGAAAAAAAGGCCAAATAAATCATTTAATTTTATAAATTTGTGCAAATATTATTTTTAGTAGGTTACTTTTAAGTTAAGCATGTAAAATAATTCTTTCCAAATTTATAAAGTTAAATAGTTTAATTGCACAGTTTATTTGTTCGATGACCTAATTGCACAAACATTAATAGTTCGGATCGTTGGCATATTTGATACTTTTTCCTCGTTTTTATTGTATATATTTCATATCTTACTAGAAGATGACGGGTGATAGAATCTAGTAGGGTGAAGCAAATGAAGCGAAGCACAACAAAGATGTATATTAAACAATAGAACTACTTAAATATTGTGATTACTGTAGGCATATTGTTGAACCTAAATATATATTATTATCACAATTAATAAAAGAATTGTTTCGCTGTCATCACCGTATGCACTTTTTCGAATCACATAAATCTTGTGTCCTTTTTTATTTCCATTTTTGCTATTGATTTCTAGCTTCATCTTGTTTTTCTCTGCAATTTTTTTCATTTTTTTTCTCCTTTAGTAAAATCATAGTATGGACGAAAATAAAATTTTCTTTTTTAAGAGCTCAATATTAAATAGGTTGTTTGATTTACAAGAAAATAAATTATTTTCTTCAATAATTTTTTGAAATTATAAACCCCTATATGAGCTTAGTCGTAGATTTTTCTTCTTTAAAAAAAAAAAACAATTTATTTAGGTGTCTTAGATATTTGTTTTCGTACTGGAATCCTCAGAGTGCTAAAAAAATGAATATATAACAAGAAATATGTATTTTTTAAAAAAAAAAAAAAACTATGTTGTTAGAGATTTATATAGTAGATGGGTAAATATTATATTTCAGATATAGTTATCTGAAATTTAAATACTCCACAATATTTTAGTGTTGTAAAATTGTAAATATTATTTTAATTTTGACAGAGATTCTATTGATTAAGAATCTTCTTATTTGATTTTTATAAGAGTTTGTTTTCTTGGTTCTTATATCTCTTTAAAATGTCTTCTAATTTTGAAAGAATTAAAAGAGACTTAACCAGAAAAGTTAAAAGAAAAATTACAAGATAGGAAAAATTAGAAAAGACTTGACAAGAAGAGACTTGAGGAGACAAAAACCATAATAAGCTTGATAGAAGAGAATCAAATAACAAGAAATGAACAACAAGGTCGCGTGGCCTAATGGATAAGGCGCTCGCCTCCGGAGCGGGAGATTGTGGGTTCGAGTCCCACCGTGATCGAAATATTCGGTTTTGTGGTTTCTTCAGGTGCCTGCCTTAATTTTGACCGCTAGCTGCTTCTCATCGTAACACCACACCACTCAAATGTTTCGCAATAAAAAAAAATTGAAAAATTATTTTTTATTTGTTGTCTCGCACAATTCTTAAGAGGTCATTTGTGGTGTTTTTATTTTACCCACCATAATATATCTACTCTATTTCACATCTATTTATCTCAATATAATCTAATTTTAAAATTACGTTTTTTTTTTTTAATATGATCTGCAATAAAACTCGAAATTCAAATTAAATTTTGAATTATTGGTTAATTTTTTAAATATTTTTAGTTATGATATATTCAAAACTAGAGTGAGGATGTAGTATTATTCATAACGTAAATGCGTTGTGTATTCTTTAAATATCCTTTTTTTTTTTCATCCATTTAATTATATTTCATCAAATTTTTTATATTAACTAACATTTTCATCTTCTTTTTCTCCATCAAGTTTTAAAAGGTGGGAGCAATGTTAGGGGAGGTGTTTGGTTGGTAATTTTTGTATCTTGTTGTTGGATTTGATACTTATTATTATCTTTGTTAGGCTATTTTTGCTATTTTATTATCGGTTCAATCTTTTAGTAATTATAAAACTCACTATATTTTTATTTCCCTACTTTTGAACAATAGAATAAAAAATGATGAAGAAAAAAAAATAAAAAAAAAAGGTATTGTGTGTACATTCAGTATGGAACTTTTCACACACACACACACACACACACACACACACACACACACACACACACACACACATATATATATATATATATATATATATATATATATATATATATATA